CCAAAGTCTCAACACAAAAGAGCAGAAGATCTAACTCTAGACAGTATGATCCTCTTGTTCCCTGTGGAAGATCAGTGCTTTCCTATTGAAGTAGGAGGTAGATTGAGTGAGTTTCTGTAATGGTGTCACCTGCAGTGGAACTGGGCAAACTCACATTTGGAAAAGGAACCCATCTGTCTGTCATATCTGGTGAGTCATCCCAGGGAGCACCATTTGCAATCCCATGGGCCAGTGAGCATCACTATTCCTTTCCTCGGGGATACCCATCTTACAGTGAGGCTGTAACTGTGTGTGTTACAACGAATTGTCTTAACAGAGTCCTCTGTGAAGGGAAAAGTCCTCACTATCAATTTTGAAAATCTGTGTTTCTCTAGGTCAAACACATTAAAATTTGATTTTAATCATTCAACAGATATTTTCTAATGCCTTCTATGTAGCCATCACTCTATTAAATGTTAGGCTGACTACAAAGAAGTCTAAGATAGATGACTGACCTGTTCCCCAATTGGATAAAAACTAGCCAAAGGGACATAACTATTATAAATTTAGACAGAACATGGAATAGTCCTAACTATGGGAAACGAACTAGGGGTGGTGGAAGGGGAGGAGGGCGGGGGGTAGGGGTGACTGGGTGGCGGGCACTGAGGGGGGCACTTGGCGAGATGAGCACTGGGTGTTGTTCTGTATGTTGGCAAATTGAACACCAATAAAAAATAAATTAATTATTAAAATAAATAAATAAATAAATTTAGCAATTTGAAAACTAAGTATTAACAAATTGATGACATCAATAGGCACAATAGGGATTCAGAGGTAGGGCTATGGCTGGAAATTGGCCTAGACAGATAAGGTTTTATGCAGTAGAAAGGATTCACTGGGCCTGAAGGGTAGGTAAGATCTGTATGGGCAAAGGATGGAGAGAAGGGGACTTTCAGGCATAAGGAACAACAAGAAAGGAAGCATGATCTTGGGCATGAACAAGGCATGTGCATTTTGGCCTAAGTAAACACATCTGATAATAAATTAGGATGCAGAGAAAAGCAAATAAAATGTCTTCTTAGACAATAGAGAAAGGGAATTCTAGAGCCTTCAAGACAATTACAGACCAAGACCAGCAACTGGGAAACTGAGATCCAATTTAGAAATGTACACAGATATGAAGTGAGAGGGGCCAGGTCCTTCCATGGATACCTCATGTCCTAGGGACCTCCTCTCTCCTTCTTCAGTGGGATCTGATAGGTTACCCCCATCCCTCAGAGGAAGAGAAATCCAAGGGTTTCCGTAATGGGGACATTATGGGTGATATGAAGGTATTGCCTCTCAGTTGAGATTTGGCAAAGGAACCAGAGTTTCCATAACTCCTGGTAAGTCTGCCCAGGTTCACTGCCTCCTGATGCTCACCAGAGGCTCAGTGGGACCCAGAGTCAGGGTTGATAACTCACACTTCTGGGTTCCTAGTACTAAAGACAAAGCACAGATTTAGTGGTAAGGAAGCTTTCAATCACTGTTGTGCCCCTATCCACCCAAAGCACTAGAGCATTCAGACATGTGCTTCTGTGGTCAATTTTGAATTAAAATGTAAGGTTAGGATCTAGAATAGCTGAACTTCTGCATCAAAAGAATTGATCCAGTCTTGCTAAGGCCAACTTCTGAGATGTCATCAGTGGCAGGATATGTTTTGCTAAGGTGGAACAGGATGACTCTCCTTCCAGGGCTCTGGCAGATGGACCCTAAAGACCTCCAAATTAAAAGTGACTCATTTCTTGTCTTCAGACAAAAAGATAAGGTTACACTAGAGGTACATGGGAGTGGAAGTAAAAGGGGCTAGAAAAAAAATCAAGTTTAGGTATCAGTACCCAGCTTTTTTTCCCAAAAAGTTCTGATAAGCAAGAATTTTGCTATTTATTTATCCATTTATGTAACCAACAATTGTTTCTTGAGCACCTACTATATGGCAGACCCAGGGATATGGCAGTAAGCCAGAGATAGGCCTCTACCATCATGAAACTTACATTACAGGATGCCAATATGAAGAGATTGGTGCAGCTCTACTCATATAGGGCACATAAAGAACTTGAGAGAAAAAAGTTCAAGCTCTCCAGATCATGGCAGCACCCGAATGTCATGCCAGGAAATATGGTCATTATCCTATAGGCAATAGGGAGTCCCTGAATTATTCTAAACAAAAAGTGACACAATCAGATAATCTCGAAGATGAGCTTGAGAAAGAGAATGGGGGGACGGAGAGGACAGGGAAGGGAGGGAAGTAAGAGAGGAAATCAGGGGTAGGTAAGCTAGACGGGAGAAACAACAGCAAAAAGGCAGATAGGAAAGCCTAAAAGGTACCAAGTCTTGGTAAAAACGAAACTTGAGAGCAGCTAAAGTCACCTCAAGTCTTCTGACTTCATTGATCACTATTTCATTTTGATCTCTCACTAGCAAAGTTGAGCAAAACTTGGTCTGCCCCTGATGGAGTCACCTCCCACTCCCACAGACTTAAAGATGGTTTTTAAGGCCCACACTCAGCCTCAAAATCTCATGTTCTGTGGCATAGCTCTTTCCAGACCAATTCTGTCCAGTAGAACATTCTGGGATGATGGAAGTGTTCTATCAACCTGCTCTGTCCAATATGGTAGCTATTAAGCTCTTAAAATGAAGTTTTAATTAAATTTTAATTTTATTTCATTGTGCTTAGTTTTAATTTAAATAGCCACATGTAGCTAAAGACTATCATATTGAACAGCATGGTCTAGACCCTCTCCAGCCTGACATTTACTGGCTCTAGGAGTTGAGTAAGTGTTTAACCAGGACTCAAGGTTCAACATCTGGCCCCCACCTCAATTTCTTTTCCCCTCTAAGCCAAAACTGCATTGGTGGCACATTACCCTCTACCTTCTCCTCAAGGCTACATTCTCTCAGCACCTCCATACGCTCCTACATCCTCCTCCTTCCCAGTCCCACCCATGACTCCCACTGAGGACTAACAAATCCATTGGGGTGTGTTGGTGGCACATAATGACTTCTCGTCTCTCTTCTCCCTGTAAAAGATTTATGTCTTAAGGCCCTAACCCACAGCGATGTCAGACCTCCCAGATATGGGGACACTGGAGAAGAACAAGCAGAATTCCTCAGGGCCAAAACTTTGGATGTCCCTCACATGTGACCATGGACCCATCCCTTGACTTGACACCCTTGGGGTGTCTTGACTCAGCAACCCAAGGCCATGCCAAAGGCTGATTTCTCTGGTTTCAGGTCCAGCTGGATGTCTGCATTGCCAAGGCCACCCTGGCTGGCCTCACAAGTGGGGTACGCCCCTGGTCTGAGAAACCTTGCATGCATGGTGAGAAGCTGTGGGAGCAGAGAACCACAGGGGCAGGAAACTCGAGTCTCAACCCTGCTATAAACTCTCTGGGTGGCCCCAATGTGTTAACCCTCCCAGCAAACCTCTGTTTCCTCTTCTAAAGGCAGGAGGTCTGAAAGAATAAACAATAAGAGTTACATTAAAAACACAAAACCCTACAGAAATACTGAAGAATGATTCTCAGCACTAAGGAAAAGCCTCCAGCAGCCCCTGCTTTTTGAGGGAGAAGAGTAGAAACTGACTGTATTTAACTCAGCAGCATCAAGAGAGGCAATGACTCACATTTATTCAGTATTTTATAGTTTGTTAAATATAATTTTATATAGAGAAACTCCCCCTTTTGAGTCTCAGAATAGCTTGGTTAGGAAGATAGAGGAGGCAATACCTCCATTTTACAGATGAAATTCCCGACACTTAAGGAGCTGATGTGACTTGCTCAAGGCTTTGTATCTAGTGAATGGTAAAGCCAGGACTGGGAGGCAGGTGTTCTGATTTATTGTCTAAAACTTTTATCAGGGATCCCTGGGTGGTGCAGCGGTTTAGCGCCTGCCTTTGGCCCAGGGCGCGATCCTGGAGACCCAGGATCGAATCCCACGTCGGGCTCCCGGTATATGGGGCCTGCTTCTCCCTCTGCCTGTGTCTCTGCCTCTCTCTCTCATTCTGTGTGACTATCATAAATAAATAAATAAATAATTTAAAAAATTTAAAAAAAAATAAATAAAACTTTTATCAATGAGAAATCTCCTGGTGATGTGACTGATCCTTCCAACTTAATGCCAGCCAATAATAAAGCTTCAGGGACACCCGGGTGGCTCAGTGGTTGAGCATCTGCCTTTGGTTCAAGTCGTGATCCCAGGATCCTGGGATAGAGTCCAGCATCGGACTCCCCATGGGGAGCCTGCTTCTCCCTCTACCTATATCTCTGCCTCTCTCTGTGTGTCTCTCATGAATAAATAAAATCTTTTTTAAATAAATAAAAACAAACCTCCAATTCCTGTCAATACCCAGCCTAGGGATCCCTGGGTGGCGCAGCGGTTTGGCGCCTGCCTTTGGCCCAGGGCGCGATCCTGGAGACCCAGGATCGAATCCCACATCGGGCTCCCGGTGCATGGAGCCTGCTTCTCCCTCTGCCTGTGTCTCTGCCTCTCTCTCTCTGTGACTATCATAAATAAATAAAAATTAAAAAAAAAAATACCCAGCCCAATTTGGGGGAGGCCACCCCAAATTCTAAGACATATGGTTTGCTTTGCTGGGCTTTTATTCTAAGCTTGCTTTGTCCTGCCAAAGCAAGGTTGTTGCTTACTAGGCCTACTGTGCTTTTGAGGAAGTTCCTATGAAGTAAAAGAATGAACAGTATCATTAAATAGCCCTGCATTTCTGGTTTCCTTGAATGGCAGGCAGGGCCAGGCAGAAAGCCTTCACTGAGAGCCTAGCCTCTTGGCCAGGACTGGTGGCTTGTGCCTGGCCCTGACTCCCAGTCCATTTAGAGCAACTGGTTTCTAGAATGTTGAGACTGAGAATGTGACATGCCAGCCTCACAGAGGCCTGCTCCTACCCACCGCTGGCATCTGGACTCAGGCCTGGGTTGGGGCAAGGAGGGAAATCAGCATCTCCTAACTTGGCTTCTTTTGGCCCACAGATGTCCAGGACCCTGACCCCTCTGTGTACCAGATGAGAAGCCCTAAATCCGGTAGGACTGTCTGCCTGTTCACCGACTTTGATTCTCAAGCTGATTTCCAAAAACCGGAGGGGGCCACAGTGATCAGCTTGAACAGTACTGTGCTGGACATGAAGGTTATGGATTCCAAGAGCAATGGGGCCCTGACCTGGAACAGCGAGACTAATATTGAATGCAAGGAAAACTTCCAGCAGCCCTTCTACCCCAGTTCAAGTGAGTACAGCCATTAAGCTGGGTCTCCCCATTCTGAGGGCCTCATTATTCCTGGAGCTCAGGTGGATGGCATCTAAAAGTTGCTCTGATCAGTGGTCTCAGCCTCATCCATTGTCAGGAAAGCTCCTACCCTTTTGTTACTGAGCACCAGTGAGCTCCCTCCTGGCAGGTTGCAGGATATCCTAGGCAAAGAGCAGATGGGGAGAAGGTGGTGGGAAGGGCACTGGCTTCTCACCTGCCCTGAGTTCCTGCCTCCCTGCCTCTGCTCAGGCTACTTGACCCTTGCTGCTCTTCCAGGCCCTAGTCTGATGCCTTCCTCCAAGATACTTCCCCTTGTTTCTGTCTCTCTGCCAAAGATCTAACCTCACTTCAGTTGTTCATTCACTCAACCAACACTGACTGTGCAATGTACAACATGCCAAGTGCTGGAGTGGAGGAATAAATAAGTCAGGTGAGGGATCTGTCCTGAGGAAGCTCCATTTCAGTTGGGGAAGACTATCCATCAGCAAGTGGAAATCTAAAGAACCTCAGATTGTAATATGTATTTTCACTTGGGATTTGAGCAAACAGCCAACATAGGGACCAAGAGTCCAGGAAGGGCTCTCTGGGAAAATGCTGTGTGTGATGAGTGTTAAAGGATAAGACAGGACCAGCCATGCCAAGGGCAGAGAGAGGACCCTGTGGAGGCCTGACAGTGGCACCCAGGGAGAAAGGGGAAGAGCAGCAGGAGATAAGATGGAGGAAGTAGGAAAGGGCCACATCACAGGGCCTCCTAGGTCACTAGAGGGCCGCCACTACTCTAAGGACAATGCGAAGCTATCAATTGGTTTTAAGTAGGAGAATGACATCCAATTTACTTTTTTACAAGAGTACTCTGACTGCTGAGTGGAAAATGGATTACAGGAGCCAAGAGTGGAAGCAGAAAGGAAGCTATTGCCACAGACAAATGATGGAGGCCTGGACAGGGAGAGCAGGGGAGTTGAGTGGCCAACACTCTTTCAAATTCAAAGGTAGAACCATGCAGGGATGAGAAGGAAAGAAGAGATCAAGGAAGGTGGCTGGATTTTATGCTCAAGCAGCTAAGTCAATGACAGTGCCATTTATTGAGATGGTGACAACAAAGGAACAAATGTGGAGTGCAGGAATGAAGATTTTGTGGGATACATAAGAGCATCGATACCCCTTATGACACTTGCCACTTTCCACTGTGTATGTCTTACTGCCTCTTTCACACTCCAGACTGGAACCTACCCAAGGGTAGGGTCTGTGTCTAATGGTTTCCTTGTGGCCTAGTGTCATGTAATATGTACTTTGCATAAGTGGATGGAATGCTACCCAGAAGCCAGGGTGTTGATCCTGCCATGGCCAATGGCCCTCCCAGCAGGTGCCCATATGTGACAAGTTCCCTCCAGATCCCTCCATGAAAAAGCAGGGAAGGCCTGTGGAGATTCAGCTGCCCAAATCCTAGGGAGTCTGAGGTAGGAGAGTCAGCACACTCAACTTTAAGAAAATTGTGTTTGTTTCTTTGTTTCTCCTTTTAGACTATTCCTGTGATGCCAAATTGATAGAGAAAAGCTTTGAAACAGGTAAGAGAGGGATCTACCCCAGCTTCGAAATGTACTTAAAATCACCCTGACTAGACAGGAGAGGGGGCCAGGAATATGTGAATCTGGAAGTTAGGAAGAATGAGAACATTCTTGAATCCCCAGGCTCCTCTCACCACTCTAAAGTTCTTTTCCCTTCTAAGTACTTCAGGATGAGTCTTTAGTTTTACTCGCCCCATGACTCACCCCTAGGGCTCTGTATCCCTTTCCACTGCTCCACTGTGGGGAGAACCAAAGAGAGTTTCTTGGTAGCCCAGCTGTGATATTTCCAACTGGCTTTTGCAGAGCCCTGAACTAACCATCTCATCCTGAGGACATGTTCCCTCTGTAATATTGGCTGGGGTTCTGTCTTCTTTCAAGAAAAGCAGCAGAATTCATGGCGGCACTGGTCTTGTCTCTCAGAATCCTCACCACTCCCGGCCCCCTGTCCCAGACCCACTTGCTTCCATCAGAGCTGTTTTCATTGAGTCATCCCTCCTGGGGTCCAGACACCAGCTTCTCACTCAGGGGCCCAGACCCAAGGGATTACAATGAGTTCTGAGCACTACCCCATCCCCATTCCTGAGGGGTACAGAAATAAAATAAGGACTGAAAGCAGTTGGGTTTTTCCTTTTGAAATGGAACATGGTTGGCCCTGGAGGAACGAATATGCTTATGAAGACATGTGCATCCCAGCTCAAAGGGAGAGACGTGGGCCAGGAGCTAAGACCCAACCCCCCCCCACCTTTTGGGAAAACCATGGGTGCAAACTTCAGGGGCCCATGCCAATAACCTCTTGGTTTTGCAGATATGGACCTAAACTTCCACAACCTGCTAGTGATTGGGCTGCGCATCCTCCTCCTGAAAGTGATCGGATTTAACCTGTTCATGACACTGCGGCTGTGGTCCTGCTGAGGTGAGTAGGCGTCTCAGGTGGGAGTGCAGGCTGTGAGGGTCTTAGGGTGGATCCCCAAGGTCAGAAAGCTAACCTCTCCCAACCCCTGGGGTTTTGCTTTTAGGTTCTAAAGCTGGGCCCACCAAATTCTTCCACTTTTTCCTGTTAGGGGTTCCTGTCGTTAATAACAATGACCTGGAACATTGCTATGACACAGTACACTCCTCAGGTGACAACAGGCACCTCAGTTGAGCCATGTATCCCCTACGAATTATGAAGAACAACTGTTAGTATCCTCGTTTTGGAAAGGAAGACGTTGAGGCCAAGTAACAGCAAAGGCCACTCATTAATGAGTGGAAAAATAAGAGAAACTCAGGACCCAGACTCATTTATACCCATGCCTTCTATTGTACCCCTTTCACTGCAAAACCTAGAGGGGCCCCCAATTCCTTTCCTTGTATCCTCTGCACCCAATATGATGAGAAAATATTATATTCCTATTATACCCTAATCCCAGCTAGCATCTCCATACCCTTCTCTCCCAGTATCCATGGTCATCCCACTGACAACCGCATCCCGTTCCACCACCATCAACAAGAAATCCAGTGTTGAGCTCCTAGAGCTCTAAACAGAGACAAGTCCATCTGCATCCCTAACTGTCCTTAGTCTGTCTCCTCAGTACCTACCTAGCCTAACCACTGCTCTTCCTCATCCTAGGTCACCAAGGATGTGAGAGCCTGGCACTCCCCTGCTCCTGGCTATGCACTGTACCTCTCCCACCTCTTCAAGCAGAAAGGCTTGAAGGCTCTCTGCCTCCATGGAGAAGAAGGCTCCCTCTGCCTCTCTGGCCCCACTGGCAACACCGCCAACTGGATCCTACCAGATATTTGTGATCAAGATGCTGAAGAGCTGCCAAACACTGTCTCCACCCTCTTTGTTCCCTCATTGCTGCTTCTCACTCCCTGTGAAGGCAGGGAGCTGCTGCGGCCTCTCTTGGCTGTGGGGAGACTCCCAGCCCCTCCCCTGAGACTGTCTCTTATGTCCTCTGGGATGAGGGATCCCCAGTGGGTCCTCTTGGGCTCTAGCTCCTGAAGAATGTTGTGAGGAGTTTTGTTTTGTTTTTTTAATAGTGTTCATAAAGAAATATGTATCCCCTTTTCCCCCAAGATGTGGGGAAAATGATTATCTAGGCCCTGCTACGCTGTTACATGAGCCACATTGTATATTCTGCTACCCTTCATTAAAGGCAGTTTGGAAGAGCAGAGACCGTGCTTCTGTTTCACTGGGTTTGGTCAGGGTTGTTTTTGACTTGCTATTGATCACTGGCTGGCCAGAAAGAAACCAAGGCATTTGTCCTGATGTCATTCAGAGAGCCTAATTCAACAAGCTGCTTAAGTCAACCTTTTCTTGGAACAACGGGTAAAAAAATTCCACTTAGAAGGCTGAGTTGGGGGCCAGGCAAACCCACTTAAAAGCTTAGGTCCTCACTCCTCCATTTTCCAGTCACACCACTGGGCCACCGGTAGCAGGAGGCCCACATCCATGACTGAAAATGACTGGCAGTTGAAATTTGGCAGCCAGGGACCACACAGCAAGTATCCCCAAAATACCACCCACTGTCTCCTGCCCTCCGGGAACATTTCCTTTGCCTTTCCTTTCCCACTGAAATTGTGCATTGCCCCCACAAATCCATGGCTGGGGACCACCCACCCTCAATGCCCCAACTTTGAGGTGCCCAGACTAAGAGCAGGGGAAGGGAATGAAGATTAGCTAGACTTTCTACTTCCCCCCACCACCACTCCCAGCCTGGATGTAAGAAATGAATCCTCTCCCCTCAAGCTCAGAGACTCTGCCAAGGACAGTGGATGTCTTAAGCTCTCACCTAGAGAACAGGAGGTAAGGTTCCCTGGGCCCCCTGGTATTCTTCCAAGCCTGAGTGCCTTTCCTGAGGTCATGGACATTGATGGGAACACCCCTCAGAGATTCAGCCATCCTCTTCACAATTACTGCTATCAAGCCCAGGCTTCCCAGCTCCCAGGGGTAGGAGAAGGTCCTATCCCCAAACACCTGTATGGTTCATGCGCATGTCTCTGATCAAATCAACCAGAAATATGCAAATCCTTCCAGCTATACAATTCAGGCCTGCCTCTTTTCACAGGGATAGAGCCACCAGCTCAATAGGGGACTTGGGCATGTCCCCCACTTGCATGAGCTCCAGGGTCACTGCCTGTAAAATGTCATCTAAGACTGGGAGTCTGCCTCCAGCTCCACGTACCTCTAATTCTGTGGCCTCTGTGGAACTAAGAACCAGTCCGTCTCCTGTCAGTCCTATCCAGGGCAGTCACAGAATCCTCAGTTCTCCCTGAGTCCCCTCATCTGTGGCCTACATACAAGTGCCCTTAAAGATCACCAAAGGAAACAGCCACAGAGGACATCCCATCACAGTGGGTCACTCTCCCACCCAAGAGGACAGGGTACCACCTTCCCAAAGGTGGTACTGCCACCTGTGGAGAACTTTAATCTGTCTCCCCATCGACCTGGCACAATGCCAGAGATCCCACCATTGGGATTAATTTTAATTAAAGCATTCTCCTCCCCCTAGTAAATGAAAATGCCCTAGGGGAGGGTTAATTGAGCAAGCCTCTATCAACCATTAAAAACCTAAGGCAAATTAGTTTATCTTCTTTTCCTCCTAAAGTAGTAATTCACTTTGGTCTGTATACAAAAGATCCAGGCAATGGATGTGTATGGGTGGCTGGGGAGGCAGCTCAGCTCCTGAGAGTTGGTGGCAGCAAAGATGCTGAGGCTGAAGGAGACACGGGGTTTAGGGCAGGGGACAGGAGCGAAGGCCCTCGGAGGCAGAGAAGGGACTAAAAACAGACTCCCTCCAAGAACCTGGGAGGAGGCCAGGGGAGCCTAAGTCATGCCCAGGGCCCTCAGTTGCCACGGCCCTGAAGTCATGGACTTCTAAAGCCACCCAAGGACCTATGAGGTGATGGGCAGTGGCTGGGTATCCACCCAGACCGACGGAGGGAGCAAAGGTACCCCCTTCCAGGCCCAGCCCAAGCCAAGGGTGACAAGGCCTCAGGCATGTAGAGTTCATCTGGAAAGTAGGGTTAGCACACCCCCTGAGACATGTCCATCTCAAATCAGGGTTCCTCCATCCCAGCAAGAACCTTCCCTCAAGTCTAAGGGAAGCCTAAAGCCAATGAGAGCCAAGTCAGAGGGCAGCTGTGGAGCAAGTGCTGAGGGGGTGGCGTGGAGACCCCACTCATCTTGATCCACCCTGTTCTCATGTCTGGCCTTGGGCCCCACTAGGGTGACAAAGGGAATTAAAATACCCTTACAAAGGGTGCCTGGGTGGGTTCAGTGGTTAAGCATCTGCCTTTGGCTCAGGTAGTGATCCCAGAGTCCTGGGATCAAGCCCCACATCGGGCTCCCCACAGGAAGCCTGCTTCTCCCACTGCCTATGTCTCTACCTCTTTCTGTGTGTCTCTCATGAATACATAAATATATATTTTTTAAATACCCTTACGAGAAGGCTCAGAAGAGTTCCTGAGCCCCCTAGAAGGCCTCCAGCACCAGGCTTAGGGTCACTGCAGCAGAGCCCCTCAGTGCAGTAAGGGACCAGGCACCACTCAGCCTGGAAGGAAGAGGCTCCTGAGGAAACCCAGACACCCATCGTCACATCCATACAAAGGCCCAGCCCTGGAGAGCCCCAGGCCCCAGGAACAGAGGGCAGCCTCAAGGAGAGAAGGCCACTATCCCACTAGTGAATGTGTCGCCAAAGCCAATTGTAGAATGGATTTGTCTGGACAGACACCCTCCTGCCCCAAATTGCTTAAGCACAGGCCAGCCCTGGAGGCAAAAGAATGAACCAAATGACTTCTCATGACCACCGACCGTTCTGAGATTCTAGAGGACTCTCTGACACCTTACCCAGAGACCAGCCCCCTCAGTGTAATTGGAATCACTGTCCCCTCAAGAGAAGGGGGCTAAGCAAGTATGTGCTGCAGGGACATCTCAAAGTGTGGTGGGGTCTTCAGCTCCCACCAAGTGACCCCCTCTGCCATGACCCACCGTTGGAGAGGCAGCCATCTGAGTTTTTAAGGATTATTTATCTTCTTGGTTTACCCATTAAAATCCAACTCCCTGGGTCGGTCACATGTAAAGTTTTAACAATATCACCTTACTTATCAGGTGATATCTTGGCAAGAAAGTCCACTCAACTACCCACTCCTCAGGATGAGAAATGTATCTTGCTCACTCAGTGTGTCTGCAACACCTAGCACAGTGGCTGGCACACAACAGATGCTTGATATACACTTAAGTAGCAAATGAACAAATAAATACTTAGTGCCATTAGGCACTGGGAAGGCAGCCAAGTTGGTGGGGGCTGCGGAAGGAGCGTAAGTAGGAGAAAGGAAGACGGAGATTAATAGAGGAGTCAGCTGGGTGAGCCACTATTTCAGTTTTGCCAAGAGCTCAGAATAACCTGTCAAGAACTACCAGGAAAAGCAAAACCTGAGCGATGGCCCATTGGCCAGTGAAACCCCCAGGGGGGTAATCATCCAATAGAGTCTGGAGGATGGAACTCTGGGTGCCAGGGAGTCAGAACTGAGGTCACTGCACAACCAGTCCAAGGTCAGGGGCCAGAGGTCGCAGAGGTACAGTTCTACCTCACTCTGCCCACGAGTCCTATCTTAAAAGCCCTTCTCCGGCCTGTTTCCTGGAGCAGTGTGTGGGGCAGAGACCTCCTGACTTGCAGGGAGCAAGCCAGGGGCGCCCAGCGCTGTCACTCTGTTAACAAGCACTGACCCGCCCGTCAGGACTTTGTGTAAGGCCATCTGGCCTCCAGCCCCCATTACGCCCAGACACACACATGCACTGGGTTTCCGGAGTATCACACCGGAGAGCTATACTTTGAAATTAATAAACAGGTCAGACACTGAGTCAGTAGCCAGAAGTAGGACAGGAAGTGGAAAAATCTCCCACTTCCCACCAGGTGTTTGGGGGCCGAGGGCCTCCCCTCCCCATTTCCGTGACGTCATGGTTGCCGAGAGGGGCAAACGGGGCACCCTTTGAAGCTCTCCCGCAGAAGCCACATCCTCTGCAAAGAGGAGTTAAAAATACTGAGTTAGAGATAGCATCGCGCGGGGCCACGTGTCTGGGCCAGCTGGCTGGGCCGTTAGACCGCCGCCGACCGCAGGTGCCACAGGGAGAGGAGCGCGGGGCGCGGCTGCCGCCACCCACCCCGCCGCGGGCCGCTCCCGGCCGCCTCTGCCCGTCCTCTGGGCCGAGCCCTGAGGTCCAGCCTCGACCGCACCTGATGAGACATTTGCTTAACACTGGGCAGGCGCTGCAAGCTTCCGTCCAGCCCAGCCCAGCCCAGCCCAGCCCAGCCGCCCCCCAGGTGTGGGGGCCACATCCCCCCACACCCACACACAGCTGGGGCGGGCTGGCTCTCCCGGGAAGAGCCGTACTCCGGGCGGGGCTGGCGGCCGGGTGGTGGCCCTCACAGACCTCTGCCTCGCGAAGACCCGGGGCCCAGGGCGCGAGGAAGGAGCCCCGGAGCCGGGACGCCGAGAGCCGGACGCCGAGACGCCGAGACGCCGAGACGCGCGGGGCTCGGGCGGCCCCCCCGGCGGTAGTGCCCCCCGCGGCCAGCTGGGGGCAGCAGCGCTCCACCGAAAAGGCCGCCTGCCCTTGGTCCCTCTATTCTGGGGGAAGGAATAGTTTGGGAAGCCCCCAAAACTCAGGGAAATGTCCTTCGGAGGAAAATGAAAGGGCAGGTGGCTGTCCTTCCGCGAACGGAGGCCCTGCCCTTTGCCGGTCGCCGCACGGGGCTCCGGAGACTGGGTGACCCTCTCCCCTCCCACGGGGCCGTGGGTCCGCGCGCGGCCCGGCCGGCGGCAGGGGGCACCACCGGGCGGGGTCAGCAGGCTCGCTCCCACCCGCGGCGGACGCGCGGCCCAGAGGGCGGCGCTGCGGGGAGCCCGGGGACGGCCCGCGCGCGCCTCCAGAGCCGGGACCTGGGCCCGGTCCGCGCTGCCCGGCCTGGCGTCCGCCCACAGCCTCAGCTTCCCGTGGGATCGATGCTCTCGTAGGGTAGATTCAGAGCCGGTTGCACTCCTGCCACCTGCCAGACCCGGTGCCAGGCTCCAGGGGGTATCTCTGTACAACTCTGACGTTCAAGAATAGGCGAAACTAACCACCACTGCAGAAATGAGAATAGTGGATGCCTTTGGGGTAAAAGGATGGACTGGGAAAGGGCATGAGGGACTTTCAGGGTGGCAGCAATTACCTGTGCCTCGACCTGAGTGGTGGTGACTGGGGTGTATACACATGTCAAAATGTCTCAAAGTGTACACCAGAGACTTGTGCATTTTGGTGTATGTAAACTGTATCTCAAGGTAAGTACTGCCCCCATTAAATACAGTTTCCGGGTGCCTGGGTGGCTCAGCGGTTGAGGGTCTGCCTCAGACTCAGGGCATGGTGTCAGGGTCCTGGGATCGAGTCCCACATCGGGCTTCCCATAGGGAGCCTGCTTCTCCCTCTGCCTATGTCTCTGCCTCTCTCTCTCTCTCTCTCTCTCTCTCTCTCTCTGTCTCTCATGAATAAATAAAATATTTTTTAAAAAATACAGTGTCTGTCCTCGAGGAGCTAACAGTCCAGTGAGTCCAATGAGTATGTGGGCATGAAAGAGACGTGTCAGTTACTGTACTTGCATGACGGAGGTTTCTGTTATCAGATTTTAGGGAGTCGGGATAACCCATGGTCATCTGTAAGCTTTGCCGCCCCTCACTAGCCTTCAACATCTGAGTCCCAGGTTTTCACCAATCATGTGAATGAAATATAAAGTAGCTGCCCACTTCTCAGTGCTGTCGAAGGGATAAGGGTGTACAAGCTTAGTGAACACCCACCCATGTCCATGGCAACAGCTGGGAAGAGGGACTGTCACCCCACATGCTGATTGTCAGGCTGGCCCAGCACACTGACCCAGGCCAGTCCCTGGCCAGCAGGCTCCCAGGCCCCACTCACATGTGCTGTTTCCCATAGCAGATGACCCCTCTCCCTTCACCATGGCACAGGAGCCTCTCACTACACCAGCAGGCACGTTTTCGTGCTCCCTCCATGGCTCCCAGCTTCCAGGAGAACTTGGTGGAGAGCCTGCCAGATACAATGGCAAGGCTGTGACCCAGTTTCTGACAAAAGCCACCACTCCTGGCCCTAGGGCACTCTAGGGCTCCCTGATCCCCTACCCCAAAACACTTTTGATTCTGATGTCCCCTCTCACCCTCTGGAGCCTCTCTGCCCACAGAAAGGTCCCTGGAGGCCCCACAGGACACAGGCCTGAAAGCATAAGGCAGACCTCTGCAGTACCCTCCAGTGGGCAGCTTCTTTGGGCATCCATCTTCCTCAAGGCCAGAATACCCCAAGTGGCTCCAGGGGGCTTTTCGCACCTTTGGGAAGAGCCCCGTCTTCCTGTTCACTCTGGAAATGGGAACATGTTTCCATTCCAGAGGCAGTAGGACCCATGCGGCAGGGACCCCCTGACCATGTTCAAAACCTTTCAAAAATCCCACTGAGGCAGAGAAGACTGCCTGTCCACCCTTTCCCTGTACTACCCAATTACAATTCGGCCAAGGAGGAGACATGAAAATATTAGAGGAAGAGCATATAAATGTAAGACAAGGCTGGCAGGACTTAAGAGGATATAAGTACATGAAGGAATGCGGTTTAGAGAGAGGTGAGCAACTGGTCTCCACTTCATGCTTCCAGCCTTGATCAGGGCAAACTGGGTTAACCTTACAAAGGACATCTTGCCAGTGGAGACCTCAAGACCCTATTTTTAGCAAACGCTAGGGTGTCACTTCTTGCTGACCCATTATTCCAGTGATTTAGCAGGCAACCTGGTTGGGCAGCATCCTCATCTACAATCTTCACCACACACTAGCCTGTTGGACACCAAAGCAAACATTATCTCCTGTGATCTTCGCAGAAAACCCAAGCAGGAGGCAGAGTATGAGCTCCCTCACAAATGAGGAAGCAGGTGAAGTGGCTTGCTTAGGATCACAGCGCACTAGGCCCGCAACAGCACTAGACTCCCTGGCCATCCACAAAGCACCGCCGACACCCAGTACCACCTGGTTCCAGATGCTTCGAGGAAAGAATGGAAAAGACCTGGAGGTCCCTGGACTTGCCCAAGACCAATGTCCTGCATTCTGCTCAATGTCCCTTCCCTCTTCTGTGACTGTTTGCATCTACTTGATTCCCTCTTTACAGTCAGACTAGAAGGCAAAGCAGAGGCCTGTGCTGTGAATCCCCTGAGGCAGTATTTTCTTTTTTTTTTTAATTTTTTTATTTATTTATGATAGTCACAGAGAGAGAGAGAGAGAGAGAGAGAGAGAGAGAGAGAGAGAGGCAGAGACATAGAGGGAGAAGCAGGCTCCAGGCACCGGGAGCCCTACGTGGGATTCGATCCCGGGTCTCCAGGATCGCGCCCTGGGCCAAAGGCAGGCGCTAAACCGCTGCACCACCCAGGGATCCCGAGGCAGTATTTTCTACACAGGCAAACTCCACTACTCACTCATATGGCAGCGCAGTTAGTACAGTGAAAACTAGGCTGGCCAGGCCCTTGGCTCTCTCAGTGGTCAGATCTGAGCCAAAATGTCACCCGCTCAGAGATGGCTTTCCTCCTGACCACTTCCGAGGAACTCCCTCCCCTGCTCCATTTACAACCACCTCAGACAGTTTATTTCCTCCACTCCTCCCATAGAACAACAGGATTCTGTTTTTATGCTAATCTGGCTCTCTTCCCAGCTAGGATTTAAGGCTCAGAGGGGGAGGCACCTGGTCTGTTCTGATTCTGTATCTCTCTCTAGTACCTGACACAGATATTTTTTAACTAAATAATGGAGTATTAGGAAGAAGGTGCCCTACCTCTGGATGTGTTTAAGTAATAGCCTAAAACTAGATTGAGGGAGAATGTTGCTAATTGTTGAAACTGAGTGTTGGGCGTCTGGGAGTTTATTTTACTAGTCTGGTGTGTTCATGTGTGTGCACGTGTATGTGTGTGAGAAAGAGAGAGAATCTCAATAATAAAAAGTTAAAAGTTGTTCATCCCTGGAATTTAAAAAAGCAGAGCAAGCTTGAACACTGAACTGAATGAGGACTCCTAGCAGTCTCTCTCCTCTGGGGAAAGAGGAAGGCCTGCCATTGGCCACCATAGTCCTGTAGCCCAAAGCCAGTAAAACTAGACATGCCGCTGAAGGAGAAAATCAGTAAGTGTGAAATGGTTCTCAGCATTTCTGATCACTGCCATAAGAGTACTGACATATTTGTAGAGCAATTACATTAACAAGATACTCTCACTTACATTTTGTTGGCATGTGTATTATTATCCCCATGCTTATTATTTATTTATCACATTCAAAGCCTAATCCAAATGCTTTGGAGTAAGACAGAAATAAGATTCAAAGCCTCACACTTGCAAACTGCATTTCCATTTCCTCTTCTGGAAAGGAGTATCACCTCCTCACTTCATGGAATTTATAGGGAAACAAAGAGCAGGAGGGCACTTAATGCCCTTCCAGACACGTGGTAGACACTCAGTATTAGCTCACTCACTCCTGAACAGGAAGAGTTAGGTCTTATTTTTTATAACCCCATGCACTACAGAGTACAGTACCTAGGTGCCTAATTATGTGCTAATTTTTTTTTTTTTTTTAGATTTATTTGAGAGAGAGCATGAGTAGTGGGGAGGGGCAAAGATAGAACACGAAGCAGACTCCCTGCTGAGCGGGGAAGCCCAACATGGGGCCGGATTGCAGGACCCCAGAATCATGACCCAAGCTAAAGCAGACACTTAAGACTAAACCACTCAGGGACCTGTAGCACAAAAGGTCACTACAGACAATAAGCGGCCCAAGGGGTTCTTAAATCAACACTTTCCAATCCAGCAGAATGCTTTCTGCAACAGGCTGCCTGGGGCAGGGTGCTGGGGCTGGAAAATATTTTTCATCCCCTCCACACATTTTGCAATAAGCTTGGACCCTCTTATTCAGTGTAAGCAAATAAAATGTGTTTTATTTTGCTCTTCAGAAGGTTTCTCCTACTCTTTTCTCGTTTTCTCATCTAAGAATCCTTGTTCTGGGAAGTGCTGTCTTCCCTCATAGGAGAGTTCCTTTTTTGATATTTGGTAAACTTTTTAAAAATTAAGTGGAGTTACAAAGTCATATAGCACTCAAACTTTATAGTTTAGACACTCCAAGCTTCTGGTAACCAGCCAGTGCTAGCTTTCTGAGCCTCCACAACCAGGGAACAGGCCTCTGTGACCTTGCTGAGTATTTTCCAACCATCATAACAAAAGTATTTTGAAGCCCCAAGATGAAAGGGTATGATCAAAGAGGCCAAAGGTATAGGCTGCTAAGAGAAGAAAACACAGGAGATGGTTTCCACGTGATAGGGGACAGGAAATGTGTGGGCAGGAGGTGCTCAGGGCTGGGCTTCCCACCACTGCAGGGAATGGCAGAGAACAAGCTACTACAGTGGTTGTGGCAAATAGCTTCCAGCCCCACAAAGAACACAGAAAATAAAAATAAATCCACCTCATAAAAGGTGTTGAGCTACAGGCAGCAGGAAATGCTGTTATTCTGTATACTGTAATACTCAAAATCCACTCGTTCAATGTTGTATTGAGCACCCATGTGTAAGGTCCAGGGAGAGGCATTATCACAACACAGCTGGTGGGTATTGAGAAAGGTCCAGAAATAAGAAGAGGCATCTTATGAACACATTACCTATTCTGGTTCAGTGCCTCTCCTCTATCATGTCTTTTAGCTAGGGAAAAACAAAAACACCAAAGAATCAGAAACCCAATTAGGGGAGTGGAGTAGGGGTAATAACATTCTTCTAAACTTGAAAAAATAGTTCCACAGCTAATCCTTTTGTATGTACAGAGTTTGAGAACCATTGAGCAAGTCAACAATGGCCTTAAAACAAAGGAGTCATTTGTAATGAGCATTTAACTAAATTTAAACTCAAAACTCCAAAAGCATTCTCTAGCCTTTCGGCCCTATTACAAATAGTGAAAAGACACATCAAAGATGAATGTATCTTGTTGATGGTCACTGGCTTGGGTAAATTATCTGAGACAATAGATAACCTGAATAATGGGAACTTGCTATCTCAAGATCATTGAAAACCATTAACAAAATCTGTATATTTAAAGGCTCTGAACATTGCAATGCTTTCCTTGATAAAACTCTTTTAAGATTTATTTTTTTCAGAGAGAGAGCAGGAAGAGGGGCAGAGGGAGAGGGAGAGAGAATGCCAAATAAATACTCTCACCCCCATAGCCCCATTGAGCATGGAGCCAGAATGCAGAGATTGATCCCACAACCCTGAGATCATGACCTGAGCCGAAACCAAAAGTCCGATGCTCAACCAACTGAGGCACCCAGGCACCCCTTTAAAATTCTTATTCCCAGTTTACAATGCATTTGCCTCAAAGTTCATTCTTTTTATTCAAAAATACCTATTTATCAATCTACACAAAGTAATCTAGAAACCACTTGATAAAGCTATATCTAATTACAAGGGCACCTCAGTGGTTCAGTCAGTCAAGTGTCTGACTTTGGCTCAGGTCATGATCTCCAGGTCCAGGGATGGAGCCCACATCAAGCTCCCTGCTCACCAAGGAGTCTGTTTTTTCCTTTTTCTCTGCTTGTGCTGTTTCTATCTCTCGAATGAATAAATATATATTTTTTAAAAGGCAAATTACATTGCTCAATCATCATAATTCAGTAAACTAGTAGTATTCCTAGGAATTGTAAGATACACCAAAATTTGAAAATCATTGCTCTAGTTCAGTGCTTCTCAAACTTTAATATGCACATGGATCACATGAGACCATGTTAAAAATTCTGCTTCAGTAGGGTCTGGGGTGGGGGTTGAAAGTCTCCTTTTCAACTAAATCCCCAGGTGATTCTGCTCATCAGTGAACTACATTATGAGTAGCAAGAATCCAGAGGAGGGCTCCTCCAGTTTGGCTGCACATGAGAATTAGCTGGGCAGCTGTACAAAGTACAGATACCACTCTCAAAGATTTTTATTTAATTGGTCTGGGGTGTGACTTGGACATTGAGATCTCCCTTTTTTAATTTCCCCAAGCGATTTTTTTTTAAGATTTTTTTATTTATTTATTCATGAGAAACACAGAGAGGGGAGAGAGGCAGAGACACAGGCAGAGGGAGAAGCAGGCTCCATGCAGGGAACCCGACGCAGGACTTGATCCCAGGTCTCCAGGATCACGCCCTGGGCTGAAGGCGGCGCTAAACCGCCAAGCCACCCGGGCTGCCCTCCCCAAGCGATTTTATGAGCCATGAAGTTGGAGAACCTCTAGAGCACAACTCATCATATCAGTAGTCAGCTAAATTTAAATAGTGGAATTCTCAGCATAGCTTAGGTCCTATATATGGCACCCAAGATGGAAACAGGATTGTTAGCATGATACATATAAATATGCCTAGACTTCAGCCAGCAGATCTATTGCTCTACACAAGCTGTGTTGGGACTTTTGATCTTAAGCAAGTGACAGATCAGATCTTCAATTTCTTCCCATATCTAATGAGGATCTTGAAACAGTTACAAGAACAAAATGAGAAAATATTTGTGCAAGTGGTTTGATGAGGACTGTTATCTATCAACAAACGTATACACAACCCTTACATTTTGCTGACACTGCATATTACATATTTCACTTTTTTTTTTTTTACATATTTCACTTTTCACCACTAAAGCATTTGAAACAGATGTAAATGTGGAAGCACCCGCTTAGTTCCATTTCTAACAAAGTGCTTAATGATGCAGTTCCAGGAATGCATTGTGTCATAAGCACAGAACCACCTGTAACAAGTAAAGGATTAGTAAAGGATTACCAGCCTCAGGGAAAAGACAAAGGACTGTCATTTCCCAGGGTTGTCAGCACTGCCTTTTGTCATTAATTTCAGATACACTTAATGAAAACATGGAAGTAGATTCCCAGTTGCAAATTATCAACTCCTAAAGAGCTTTTCAGAGGACTGAAAGAAAAGGATTTTAATACCAATAAAGAATTTAAAAAGAGAGAGAGAGAGAGCCAGAGGCACAGGAAGGAGTGGCATGGAGTTTTTTAATTTGGAAGGCAAAAAGGTTACACTTAATGGGAAGCAGAGGTCATGTTAATAAATGCTCATTACAAAGCTGCTCTAACAGAAGCAAGGAAACTTCTCTGGGCTCTCCACCTACATTTGAAATCAGAATCAGTATTTAAGTATAAATCTTATTTTCTTGAAGAAAATCCACATGTCCAAGTTGCCATCTCAAAAGTTCTCATCCAAGGGAAATCAAAAAGTGAACCTAAAAGAAAGAAAAAGAAAGGTAAAAGAGACATCCAAGGTTTTTAAAAATGTCTTACAATACCAGAAAACAGGGCCCCAAATCCTTCAATCTAAATTCTGAACCCACAAAGACAATTATGGGGTTACCAAATTCTAGACAGTATTCAAGCCATGCTAGAACAACCAGAATAAAGCAAATATTTCTCACAGAACATTTTATAGAGGTATCCATAAAAATGAATGTTCCAATCTGAATCCCAAGCACACCACGGCAAAATTTACTAGGAGTGGCAGGCATGGGTTCTAATTCCAGCTCTGCAATCAATAAAGCACACAACTTTATGTAAGTCGCCCTGACCTCTCTAGCTCACAGAATCTTGGGAGGTGAGGAGGGCTGCAACTTAGCCTGAAGAGGTTTTCTGGATCTAAAAAGCATACAAAGGACTAAATTTCAGTTAGAGAATAGTGGGTAAAAAGGAAGAATTTCAAAGGAGAAAGAGTAGAGAAAAATTCCCAATCTCAGATTTAACAAAGGTCCAAAATAGAAGAAATAATTTCATTTTCATTGAAAGATAAGGTTATTTTTTGGCAAGAAGGCAGAGGATAACTCCAAGAGAAGCAGCCACATTGCTGGCCACACAAGACTGCAATCTGTAGGCTGTGAGATGAAGCCCTCCCAGCAAACCCAGCAAACCCTTTCAAGGCCCTCTAGGAGAGCTGTCAGCCTAGCGCAATGCAACATGGGTGCAGCCAGAGAGTGGCCCCTTAGCCTTAGAGGCTCCAACATTTCTAGCCATCAGCAGCCCTTTTTCCTGCAGTGTATCATTAAAATACTGCGATCTTCTTTCGGTGTCATGACTTGAAAAAGGTTGGAAAACACTACCTTTCAAGAGCTGGGCTACCCTGGCAGGTAAAACGCATCACCTTATTTTGCATACTGGTTCTGGTGACCTGGAGACTCTAGCATCAGAACTTAAAGGAAAGATCTTATTAGACTTCCAGCCAGGGTGCTTTTATTTCACGAACAAGGGTACTTAAAGAAATGACAAAGAACTGTAGAACATTACTACATCTGAACTGTGAAAAAAGAGCAAAAAACAGGGAACAAAAAACATTCATAGTGCCAACCAGGAACAAACAGATCTATTAAAACTTAACCGGGATCCCTGGGTGGCGCAGCGGTTTAGTGCCTGCCTTTGGCCCAGGGTGCGATCCTGGAGACCCGGGATCGAATCCCACGTCGGGCTCCCGGTGCATGGAGCCTGCTTCTCCCTCTGCCTGTGTCTCTACCTCTCTCTCTCTCTCTGTAACTATCATAAATAAAAATAAAAAATAATAAAAATAAAATAAAATAAATAAAACTTATTAACCTACTCACTCCATCAAATTTCCTTTTCTTAAAAAAAAATTTTTAAGCAATCTCTACACCTAACATGAGACTCAAACTCACAACTCCAGTATCAAGAGTCGCATACTCCATGGACTGAGCCAGCCAGGTGCCCCACTCCATCAATTTTTTTTTAAGATTTTATTTACGAGAGAGAGAGAGAGAGAGAGAGAGAGAGAGAGAGAGCGCGCGCGCATAGGTAGAGGAAGGGGGAGACAAAGAGGGAAAAGCAGGTTCTCCACTGAGCAGGGAGCCCCGATGTGGGGCTGGATCCCAGGATCATGACCTAAGCCTAAGGCAAACACTCAACTGACTGAGCCACCCAGGTACACCCACTTCATCAAATTTCTTAAAGCAAACTCTCTGGTTACAGAATGCATCAGTTCTAACGGCCAAGGTAAGTAGACTAGAGCATTGGGCTTGACCCAGAATTTTAAAAGAAATCCTAGGTTTAGCACGAAAGTCAAGTTTTGAGATTTTCTGGTATTAAAACAGTTAAATCTAAGACACTGGGACTGGTTCATTTAGAAGGCAAAAATGACTCATGAGATTAAGTCTCTTTAATAGTGGTTTTCAGAAAATTCTACTTAACAAAAATCTGCTCCCTTCTTTTAAGACAAAACTACATTTCCCAGACAGTATTCTAAAAGCAGAGGATCTAGGATTCTTTGAAATGTTAACTCAACAAAATTGGACTATGCCACACTCAGAAGAATGCTTCAACTGCTAACCAGGAGATAAAGGTTTTAGGAAACTAATAAAATTGCCTCCCATGATAATTGAGACATGCAAAATGGAAGACACCTACTGAGAAAAGTTCACATGACTTCTTCAGTCTATTTCACCCATGCAGAAAAGACCGTGCCATGTGATCAGTCTGTTCTAATCATCTTAAAAGAAAGTCAGGCACAACACAAAGTTAAAAATAATTATTCTCTGTAGAGATACAAAAGATAATGCCAGACAGGGTCATTTCTATTTGGAATCTGTATTCTTCCCCAGCACTATCTCTATTCAGACACCAGCACTAAGTAGATACACTCAAATACTGATTTTCCTTCAAATACATCTCATCCTGAATATCCTGAACAACCAATTAATAGTGAAATTAGAGAAAATGTGCATCAAGACCATTCTGCAGAAATTCTAGGTTCTGAGCTCAATCTGAATCACTATACTTTCAGAAGGGAAATTGTGTGTTTCTAAAGATGACAGGAGCTTTGTAGATCAACTAGTTTGATCCTCTCATTTTATAGATGAGGAAGCAATAACCTGGAGTTTAACAGATCTGTCTAGAGCTGTGCTAACACTGAAGCCACCAGCCATACATGGCTATCTAAACTCAGTTAAAATAAAATGAAATTAAAAATTCAGTGCCTCACTCAGGCACATTTCAAATTTTCACTAACAACATGTAGCTGGGGGCAGTTGGCTGGCTCAGTCAGTAGAGCATGCAACTCTTTTTTTTTTTTTTTTTTTTGAGCATGTAACTCAATCTCAGGGCTTGTAAATTCTAGCCCTATGCTAAATGTAGAGATTACTTAAAAATAAAATCTTAAACAAAACAAACGAAATCACATGACTAGTGGCTACCATCCTGGATGGCACAAACCTAGAACACTTCCCCATCGTAGAGTTCTATGGAGAGCACTGAGCCAACATGATCCTCTCTGGATAAAGTCAGGTCTCCTGATCTTTCTTGCGTGTCTTTTGAAACCAAGATGGCCAACTCTGTAGACATTTTAAAAATATATATGTATGTATGTATGTAATCTCTATACCCAACGTGGGGCTCAAACTCACAACCCCAAGATCAAGAGTCACACACTCTTCCAACTGAGCCAGCCAGGCACCCCACAGAAACATTTTAGATAGCCTACTTTCATCTTATCAATCTCTCCTAAACTTTTCCTATTGAAAAAAGATGTTAATATTTTTATGAAAACTTAACAAAAAGATGTAGATACCCTTTATCCAAGTCTCTGAACATAATAGAGGAAAAGGAATATAAAAGTTCAGAGTCAAAATGTTATCAAATTCCCATGTAGTCACTGACTAGCTCCAGGGCCTGGACAAGTTAAACTAAATGCTGGTTCAGTCAGTGGAGCATGAGACTCTTGACCTTAAGGTCATGAGCTCGAGCATCACATTGAGTATAGAGCTTACTTTTTAAAAATGTAAATTCCATCAAGGTTGGGTTTGTTTTTTTGTTTGTTTTCGTTTTTTTTGCTTTTTAAGATTTATTTTAGAGAGAGAGAAAGAGAGAGTGTGCACCGCGCTTGAGCGAGGCAGGCAAGGGCAAAGGGAGAGGAAAGAGAAACTACCAGGCTCTGCACTCAGTGCAGAGCCCACTGCGGGGCTGGGTATCACAACCCTGAGATCATGACCTGAGCCAAAAAACCAAGAGTTGACGCTTAAATCGACTGTGCCACCAAGACACCCCTTCACCAAGGTTTAATTACCTCATGCATAAAATGGGAATACTACTATTCATCTAACTCCATCACGGGATTGGCCATGAGGATCAATAGATTAACATTTCTAGGAGCGTATGTTCACGTAGGAGCATATGTATGTACCAGGAGTCCCACAAGCCTGGTAATGTGCTAACTATAAAACATTTTTTTTTAAGATTTTATTTATTTATTGGGATCCCTGGGTGGCGCAGCGGTTTGGTGCCTGCCATTGGCCCAGGGCACGATCCTGGAGACCCGGGATCGAATCCCACATCGGGCTCCTGGTGCATGGAGCCTGCTTCTCCCTCTGCCTATGTCTCTGCCTCTCTCTCTCTCTCTCTGTGACTATCATAAAATAAATAAATAAAAATTAAAAAAAAAAAAAAGATTTTATTTATTTATTCATGAGAGACACAGGCAGAGGGAGAAGCAGGCTCCATGCAGGGAGCCTGACACGGGACTTGATCCCTAGTCTCCAGGATCACGCCCTGGGCTGAAGGTGGTGCTAAACTGCTAAGCCACCCAGGCTGCCCTATAAAACATTTTATAAATGTTATCTAATTTTGTAAAAGACCTTACACAAACTTTGTACATTTTGTTATATACAGCCACACTAACTTTCCACCTCCTGTGAATGGATAGTGGAAATCTGGTAATATGAATAAAAAGCAACACTTGAAGAAAACAATAAGCAAAGATCAACTGAGGATCCACACAAACGGTATGAACTGCCTGAAATACAACAGGAATTATCGTGAATTCTAATAACCACAGGCTGTAGCAGCTGGAAAAGACTGATGAATATCCAGGTTAATTCCCTCACTGTTGTAGATAAGGAAACTGGGCCTTAGAAACAAGATTAAAAAAAAAAAAAAAAAGAAACAAGCTTATTTGTCCAATCAACTAGTTAACAGAGCAAAATCTACAATGCAGGTCTTCCAACTTCTGTAGGGCTCTTCCTACAGCCCTTCCTAAGAATGTTTTCCTTGGCTTCCTTCTTCCACAGCATTTTCCATGTCTTAGCATCCGTGTAACTATGATTTAGCTATTTTTATAGCATTTTCTTATAGTTGAAATTATTTATTCATACGCTCACTCAACAAATATGCATAGTGACTATTAGCCCCGTGCTATGCCTTCAGGAAATTTAAGAGTTCAGTGGAAGAGGGAGGCCTGGGTGGCTCAGTGGTTAAGCATCTGCCTTCAGCTCAGGTTGTGATCCTGGAGTCCTGGGATGGAGTCCTGTGTTGGGCTCCCCACATGGAGCCTGCTTCTCTTTCTGCCTGTGTCTCTGCCTCTCTCTCTCTCTCTCTCTGTCTCTCATGAATAAAATCTTAAAAAAAAAAAAAAAAAAAGAGTTCAGTAGAATAGAGAGGAAAGCAAACAAACCATTCCATAACTATTGGGTAAGTGTAGCATTAGAGGTATGCACAATGGGCTCCAGAACAGGCTCTTATACAACCTGGGGGCTGGGATGACATGGAGCAGGAATCATCTGAGCTGCAAGGATGGAGAAATAAGGCAGGGAATTAGGGCAGCTGTGAAATTCATAAACACAACAATATTTGATTTTTTTTAAACTGGTAGCTTTAAATAGACCAAATACAAAATAGAGCTCAATCACCAATTTGTCATTAATTAACGGTTTTTTTTTTTTTTTTTAAGTAAATAAAATAAGTAGGGCAGCCCGGATGGCGCAGCGGTTTAGTGCCGCCTGCAGCTCAGGGTGTGATCCTGGAGACCCGGGACTGAGTCCCACATCGGGCTCCCTGCATGGAGCTTGCTTCTCCCTCTGCCTGTGTCTCTGCCTCTCCCTCTCTGTGTCTCTCATGAATAAATAAATAAAATCTTTTAAAAATAAAATAAAATAAATAGATTCAGCATTTTAATAATGGCTAAAGAATTCAACTCCCCCTCCAACTGGAGAAAAAAGGTGGTTGGAAAAAAAAAAAAGATCATACTATATGCTTAGCTCAAAATACGTTCTACAAATTTAGAATAGGTCCCTTTTTGGGAACTTAGTTGGTGGCTAGATCTAATTCAATATAAGATGAAATGTCAAAGAGAAAGTGGAATAAAACTAAAAAGCTCCCTAGGATTCTGGGTGGCGCAGCGGTTTAGCGCCTGCCTTTGGCCCAGGGCGCGATCCTGGAGACCCAGGATCGAATCCCACATCGGGCTCCCGGTGCATGGAGCCTGCTTCTCCCTCTGCCTATGTCTCTGCGCCTCTCTCTCACTCTCCCTCTGTGACTATCATAAATAAATAAAAATTTTAAAAAAAAATAAAGATTACTACCGTGGAGTTGGGAACAAAAACAGGTCTTATTTTTGACAAAATAAGAAAAGGAAATAAAGGGAAAATCTGTGGGTCTCCATGCACTTGATGTCTTTCCTGGTTAAGGAAATCCCTGTTGCATGACCTTTTGTGCCTAACTCCACACTGCCCACCTCTGGTCAGAATGTAAAGCAAACCCCCACCCAGCACCTAAGCCCACTTAGACCTCTGCTGCCCTCCTGTGACTAGAAAGAAACTAGATTTTATCACAAAGGTATCAGTGGTCCCCCTCCCATTCAACTTTTCTTTTGCTTTGTAGTACATTCTTAGCATATGAAATGTGCAACCCACTAGGTGGCAGTACAGCCTAAAGAATATTTAGATTCCCTTCCAGAGGTTAATTTTCTGACACTACACACTAGCACCCGTTTATTCAAGGTTTCACTTTCCATAGTCATAGTTCCTGCAGTCAGTCACAGGGGAAGCAGATGACCTCCTCCTGTCATACTGTCAGGTCCATAGTCGCCTAACACTATGTCCCAATGCCCACATCACCTCCCTTTCTTCATCTCATCACACAGGCATTTTATCATCTCCCATCATCAGAAGACAGATGGATACAGGACAGTAAGATATTCTAAGAACACATTCACAAAACTTTAATTCCACTATACTACTATAACTGTTCTATTTTGTTAGTAGTTGCTGTTAATCTCTTACTGTGCCTAACTGATAAACTGAACCTTATCACAGGTATATGCATATAGGAAAAACACTAGTATATGTAGGATTCAGTACCATTGATTTCAGGCATCCACTAGGCGTCTTGGAATGTATCCCCCACAGGTAAGAGACAACTACTGTATTTTACTGGTAAATTCAAAAAGCTAATTAGCAATTTTTTGGGGAAAGCACTGCTTGTCAGAGTTCTGTTCTGCCCAGCCCTGTCAGTCTCCTGGTTCCAGCCGGGATTAAACACTACGAATTTTTAAAGATCTGTGAGAGAATGGCCTCCATTGTAAAAGCAAAGCAACACTAGCAAGATTTTAACATGAGCATTTGAGCATTTGACAAACAACCTCCTTCCAGACTGAGCATGTTTTCAAGCTCAGACTTGTCCCTTTTTTTCCCAGTTCGATTTCCCTCAGATCCAGAGACCATGTATGTCATCAGGAACTTTCCTGCCCAAAGTGTTACCCAATGTAACTATGTCCCTATTCATTTCCTTTCAGAATATGTTTTATAGGCTGACAATTTTTGAAAAAAAAATTCACAAAGAGACATAAAGAAACAACACAGTAAATATTTACAGATACCATGTAAATTTTAAAATATTCAAATCTCCTGTACTTCTGTGTCATACATTCATTCAAAACAGATTTACAGGGGCACCCAGGTGGCTCAGTGGTTGAGTGCCTGCCTTTGGCTCAGGTCGTGATCCTGGGGTTCTGGGATGGAGTTCCACATCAGGCTCCCTGCAGGGAGCCTGCTTCTCCCTCTTCCTATGTCTCTGCCTCTCTCTGTGTGTCTCTCATAAATAAATAAAATCTTAAAAAAAAAAAAAAAAAAGTTTACAGCCACCTAAAGTGCCAGACACTGATCAGCAACTCCAAAGCTCATAAGGAGCATTTTTTACTTCTGCATTTTCAAGAGTGGGGCACCTGGCTGGCTCACTTTTGATACCAGGGTACGGAGTTCGAGCCCCATGTTGGGTATGGATATTGCTTTAAAATAAAGTGATTTTGGGGATCCCTGAGTGGCTCAGCAGTTTGGTGCCTGCCTTTGGCCCAGGGCGCGATCCTGGAGTCCCAGGATCGAGTCCCGCATCGGGCTCCCACCATGGAGCCTGTTTCTCCCTCCTCCTGTGTCTCTGCCCCTCTCTATCATTCATAAATAAATAAATAAATAAATAAATAAATAAATAAATAAATAAATAAATAAAGTGATTTTTTTTAAAGATTATTTATTTATTTATTCATGAAAGAGAGCGCGCGCGAGTGAGACAGAGACCTAGGCAGAGAGAGAAGCAGGCTCCTCACAGGGAGCCCAACTCAGGACTCTATCCCCAGATCCAGGTCACAGCCTAAGTGGAAGGCAGACGCCCAACCGCTAAGCCATCCAAGTGTCCCAAATAAAGTGATTTCAAATAAGTATTATTTAAAAAATAAAAATAGAGGCTCATGGGTGGTTCAGTCAGTTGAGCGGCTGCCTACAGCTCAGATCATGATCTCAGGGTCCTAGGACTGAGCCCAGCGTCACTCCCTGCTCAGAGGGGTATCTACTTGTACCTCTGCCCCTCCCCCTGACTCATGCTCGACAGGTGCTTGCTCACTCTCTCTGTCAAATAAACAAAATCTCTAATGAATAAATAAATATTAAATATATGTATGTATGTCATGAGTTTATTCTTGGCCCTGGGATAGCTACATATAAACAGTGCTGCCAACTGAGTGGGTCTTAACCACAGGATATGTTTTCAAAGGCCACAAAAGCTGAAGGTTGGAAAAGGCTGTGTTAATAGATCTAGGGTTATTGTTCTTTTTTTAATATTTATTTATGTATTTATTCATGAGAGACAGAGAGAGAGAGAGACGCAGAGACAGAGAGGGAGAAGCAGCCTCCATGCAGGGAGCCCAATGTGGGACTCTATCCTGACACTCCAGGATCATGACCTGAATCAAAGGCAGATGCTCAACCGCTGAACCACCCAGGCATCCCAATAGATCTAGGTTTTACAATAGTTCTGGCTGAAGGAAATCATCATGAAACTCAGGTCTTAAGAGTAGAGGGAAGGAATGGAGACTAGACAGCAATTCAAAGGGAACTTTAGCTGATAATCTACAATATCTAATATGTTCAAAATCTTTTTTTTTTTTTAAGATTTTATTTGAGAGAGAGAGAGCAGAGCGATAGAGTGAGCACAAGCAGGGGAAGGGGCAAGGGAGAGGAAGAAGCAGGCTCCCCACAGAGCAGGGAGCCAGATGGGGGTCTCATCCTAGGGGGACTCATCCCAGGACCCTGAGATCATGACCTGAGCAGAAGGCAGATGCTTAAACGACTAAGCCACCCAGGTGACCCTAATATGTTCAATATCTTAATTCCTCGTAGTGGTTGGTTATAATATTCTCCACACTTTTCTGTATTTTTACATTATCATAATAAAATTAATTAAAATAAATAATTATAAAAAAATAAAAATTAAAATTAAATAATTAAAATTATCATAATAAAAGCAAAGAAGGAAAATAATTAAGAGGAGAACAATGATAATAACTTTTTAAACACATTTAATTCTGCAATTGCCAGATACTTTATAGTAAACAAATTTAAGCAAAAATAGAGTATAAAAAATTCTTTTGAAGTCAGACTGGATTATCAGACTCTCTTATAAATGGCACTAGCAAACCTACCTGAAAATAAAGACACAGAAGAAGCACTTGAAGCTTGACCTTTGGTGAGCTCTCACTATCTGTTAATTTATTTACTTCTCCTTGAATAAATTTATTTTTTAACTCAATGCCATTTTCTTTTGATCTTTTTTTTTTTAACCTTTTTCAGAGTAGCTGTTCATTTTAAATGTCATCTCCCAATTCATGCAAGAACAGTACACTATAGATGTTTATTCTTTTTACAACCAACCCTCAACGTACTTGGCAGGTATGGAGAATGTTCAATCTGTTTTAGTCTACCTTCTGAGTTGGTATAAATACTGAGAACTCACTTGGAAACTATTTTAAGTGTTTTGGCACACTACACACAGAGCTGAGTTAGAAGCACATATGGGCAAATAGATGGGACGTTTAAAAATTAAAAACGGGATGGGATACCTCAGTCGCTCAGCAGTTGATGCCTGCCTTCGGGCCCGGGCGTGACCCAGGGTCCCAGGATCAAATCCTACATCAGGCTCCCTACGTGGGGCCTGCTTCTCCCTCTGCCAATGTCTGCCTCTCTTTCTCTGTCTCTGATGAATAAATAAATAAAATCTTTAAAAAAAAAATTAGAAGTGGGACAGTATAAACTGCATCAAATGAAAGATCTCTGTGAAAAACCTTTTGGGCAGTGTCCCAGAGAGAAGGATATTTCAATGAGCATATGCTCTATAAATAATTTAACACTGTAATCTAGGATTGGAGGCTTTTGCTGTACCTTGGGCCCATAATTCCCAGCTGAACAGGTGGCCGTTAAGTTCTTAATATGGTCTGCAGTATGCAGTTCCTGCTGAGCCTGCTTTTATTGCCTCTGTTTTTGTCATAATTTTGAAATTCTAGGCTCTCTGCAGCAGAGTCCTCTGCCGATCACGACAGGCCTAAGAAATCATTTTCCATGATTTGGTATCTCCCTGAGCCTAGAGAATATCCTTGAATTGTTTGCTCTGTTCCCTTCCTAAGCATATACATGACTCATCTAGAAAAAAGTAATTTTAGCAATCTAAAGTAAGACAGAAAATTTATGACCTTTCCAGCAAGGTTACTATCAGAGAGCATAAGAGTGACTCATGAGGTTTTGCCAAGGGTAAAGTCAGCGCTGGTGGTTTGGTTTTCTAGCTTTGCTCGAGGAGTTATCATTCTCAGACACCCTGTCTGCTGCCTCTGCTCCCAAATGGCACATAGCTAGCTCCCTTGTCTGGACTCCCACAGCACTGTGTTCAGATCTTTGCTGTGGCTCTAACTATGCTGAATTTTAACTGCTGTGTTTATAGGCCTTCTCCCCTACTAGAAAAGTTAAGAGCCACATTTTACTTTTGTTTATATTCCCAGTAACAAGACATGACTGGCACACAGAAGGTATGGTAAGGGGAGGGATGGGGCACAACTCAAGTACTAATCAGGTCTCCAAAGAATTAAACTGTATTAGAATAGTAGAAGGAAGCACTTCTCAAACTTTTTCACCAAAATAAACCATTCCTGTCAACTTACCACTACCCAAAGTGAAACCTTACCTAAAAATTAAAAACTTAAATAAATTAAATTTTTTAAAAAAAGAAACCTTACCTGAATTAACAACTGTTTTTTGAGGCAATTATCAGTAACAGAAAGAATTCATACAACATGGTAAGTTAATGGATTCATTCATGCCACAACTCATCTTAGTCCTTATCACATAGCATAGACTTTATACATGGTTGCTAATTCGTGTGTTATACTGCTGATTAATACAAAAATGATAGATCTCAGGAAGCCTGGGTGGCTCAGTGGTTGAGCATCTGCCTTTGGCCCAGAGCGTGATCCTGGAGTACCAGGATCAAGTCCCACGTCGGGCTCCCTGCATGGAGCCAGTTTCTCTCTCTGCCTCTCTCTCTCTCTCTCTCTCTCTCTCTCTCTCTCTCTCTCTCTCGCTCTCTCTCTGTGTGTGTGTGTCTCATGAATAAATAAATAAGAATCTTAAAAAAAAAAAAAGATGATAGATCTCTAAGTAATCACAGAAATAGGTCCGTCCTGGGATATTCTTCCCTGCCACAAGATAACATTTCCTAAGGTTCTTTTTTTCTCTGCCACCCAAAAGCAACAACACTAAATACGTAGTAGAAAGGCAAAGAAAAAAGCACATTCATTCATGAGTAAGCTAGGTGGGGTGCTGGAAAAGCACTAGGCCAAGAGCACCACTGGCTAAGGCATTACTCTGCAAAGTAAGAGCTGTGTGCCCACAGAATGCCTGTTTTCTCATAAATAAAATAGCAGTGTTGGGGCTCCTGGGTGGCTCAGTTGGTTAAAAGCATCTGCTTTGGGATCCCTGGGTGGCGCAGCGGTTTAGCGCCTGCCTTTGGCCCAGGGCGCGATCCTGGAGACCCGGGATCGAATCCCACATTGGGCTCCCGGTGCATGGAGCCTGCTTCTCCCTCTGCCTGTGTCTCTGCCTGTCTCTCTCTCTCTGTATGTCTATCATAAATAAATAAAAATTAAAAAAAAAAAAAGCATCTGCTTTCAGCTCAGGTCATGATCCTAGGGTCCTGGGATCGAGCCCCACATCAGGCTCCCTGCTCAACAGAGAGCCTGCTTCTCCTTCTCCCGCTGCCGCTCCCCCTGCTAGTGCTCTCTCATGCTGTCTCAAATAAATTAACACACACACACACACACACACACACACAATAATAGTGTTCAGTTTGGAAGATTCATGTACTTTTTTTTTTTAAGATTTTATTTACTCATGAGAGACACAGAGAGAGAGAGGCAGAGACACAGGCAGAGGGAGAAGCAGGCTCCATGCGGGGAGCCTGACGTGGGACTCGATCCCGGTCTCCAGGATCAGGCCCTGAGCTGAAGGCGGCACTAAACCGCTGAGCCACCCGGGCTGCCCACTCATGTACTTAGAGATTTAGGATTCACTTGGAAGGGAGAGATAGAGAGAAGGGCATACCATACTTGAAACAAAAGCCAAGCAGAGAGAGCTTCTCAATTCTGTCAATCAAAATAAATCTGGCTCCATTACTGCTTTATATATTGAGATTCTACATAAGAGTTTATTTAGAAAAAAAAAGGAGCTCTACTGTGAATAAAGGGAAAATGGCAAATGAACCAAATGACATCTCATCCTGTATTTTAAAATCTCTCAAGTTAATCCAATTTCCTCATTTACTTCCACTTTAGCACACATATTATTAGTAAATGGGTATAGTCATTCATTCAGCATATACCAGATATCTATCAGGTGTGAGCACTAGACTAGGTACTAGAAGGGATAACTGCCCAGCATTTAGTTATCTGAGATCAAAATCAGAAAAAAAATTACAGAGCAAAGCTGTAGGTAGAGCCTACAATTTAGGGCAGCCCCGGTGGCCAAGAGGTTTAGCGCCGCCTGTAGCCTGGGGTATGATCCTGGAGACCAGGGATCGAGTCCATGTTGGGCTCCCTGCATGGGGCCTGCTTCTCCCTCTGCCTGTGTCTCTGCCTCTTCTATCTCTCTCTGTATCTCTATGAATAAAAAAAATAAAAAATAAAAAACCTTAAAAAAAAGAACCTACAATTTATGTCTATTCCAAAATTGTAGTTGTTTCTATGGAGTTATTGGTGTAGAAATTAATGTACTTAGAGGGGAACTTATTTTCTGTTCTCTTAATGATTTCCAAGAACAGTGAGAAGGGAAGGCAATGACCAAGACAGGCAGCATCAATGAATCATGATGATAATGCATACTTTGCATTCTGATATAAAATTCTGCAAATGTCTTATCAGCAATAGAACCTTGGTAACCATAATCAAAACCAGCCACACTCAATTTCTATTCCTAAAGCAACATTATGGGACAAGGGCTATATCACTACTTACATTCTTCTAGTCTCCCACTCCCCAATTAAGTAAATGGGAATAATTCAGCCAACGAAGTTCATTACAACAAGGTGCAGGATGGTGCTGGCAAACAGAAAATCAGCAAAGGCTCGCTCTGGGGAGATGCCTTGGAAATCTGCTTTGTTCTGTGGGTTGATCTGTATCCTGAGGCAAACTGCACAAGAAGCAAAACACGAAAATGATTATCTAGAAATATAAAACATATGACTGTTAATGAACATATCTATATGCTATGTCCCAATAATTCTAACAGAAACGACACATAAGTTTATCCAAAGACATGTACCAGAATGATACCCATGACAGACCCAAACTAGAAACAATATAAATGTCTCTCAACAATAAAATGGGTAAATTATGGCATATGCACACAATAAAATGCTATACAGCAATGAAAAGAACTTCATAATATGGATACTTCCCACAAATATAGTGTTAAGCAACACAATTCAGATACAAAAAATACATGCTGTATGATTCCATTTATATAAAGCTTAACACAGGCCAGTCTACAGTAATACAGGTGAGGATACTGGTTTTAATCTTTCAAGGGAGGAGGAATGGCTGGGAAAGTTCAAGGAGGAGGCATCTAGAGTGCTGGACATCTTCTGTAGCTTGCTCTGGGTGCTGGCTAGATGGGTGAATTTAAGAATTCATAATTGTTCATTTATGTTTTGTGCTCTTCTTAAAGTTAAAAGAAAAAAATATGACTTCGCAGGCTAAAAACCAAAAGCTTACTCTGAAAAAGATACATATAACCAAAATATCTTCAGAACTCTCTTATCTCCCAATTTGAGTTTATAATTATGCCTCGAATGGGTAGCAGTAACAAAGCGGCTGGGCTGAATGACAAAATGTTATAAAACTGTGAACTATTTTCTAATAAAAGGTGTATAATACTGGATAGCACAAAGTATAAAATCCTTATATCCATGAGAAATCTCATAGTTACAACCTTTGATCTTAAAGTTCTAGCAACTGCTCCTCTCAAAAAACTTGAGACCTAAACTATACAACTTTGACCAAGAACTCTCTCCAGCCACATTCTATCTACATCCTTGAATACGCCAACCTGATACGTTAGTCATGGTCACATTTGACATGAAAAGGAAGCTCCAGAAGTACAGTTTTCCAAAATATCTTTATGCCTGTGTTAAATAATTACACTACCTAAGAAAACCCAAATCTGCTTCAGGCTAGCATCCATCCCATCACCAACCAAGAAAGAAAATGACCTGAGAAAATGACCCAAAGATCAGAAAACTACCAGACTAGTTCTCCAGAGGCCATCACCATGGCAACAGTTTTCATTATGCTTAAACATGTAAATAACACTGTGGAAGTTCCACTGATCTTTTCAAGCACCTGGACCCTTCAAAATATGAAAGACATTGAAGCAAGGGCAACCAATTAAAATCCTGCTTTGGAGAGTACAGACTGGTTCATCCACTTGAGAGAGATGGCAATATCCATTAATATTTAATTTTTTTTTTTTTACTTTTTGGATAAGGAATTTATCTTACAGAACAAAATTGCTAACAGCATGTTCATAAAGTTGAAAAAAAAGTGCAAACAGTTCAAATGTCATCAAGGGGATTTATTTCAATAAATTACACTACCGACATGCAATGAAATCTCATGCAATTACTTGAAAAAAAAAAAGATAAATTCTCTACATGTTGATAATAAAGATATCCAAGATATATTAAGTTTAAAAAAAGCCAAAAATTATACCATTCCATATTTCTCTTAAGAAAACAAGTTATCATCATTTTCTCATTTTAGTTGGAACCTAGGAAAAATTTGGAGAAATAGATACCAAATGATTAACCATGGCTATTGAAATGGAGGGTAGGGATAGAGTAGTGTTTCAGGAAATGCAAGGGGACAAGAGAAGCTCCCCATGAGGGTGAATAAGGTAATGAAATGATGTGTATGGTTACCGTGGCCATAGTCACCCAGCTTATTTTAATGACAACATAAGAAATCAAAGAGTCTATGGAGACGGAAGGACCTTGGAGTTATAAAGACCAACACCTATTTTGATAAATAAAATGTCCAAGAGGTGGGGTTGGGCATACTGGGGGAGGCGGATGTCACCTAGGAAGTTTTCCAAAGTATACTCACCACACCCAGAATCTGACAAGCCATCCCCGGTGGAGAATTACCAATCTCCCAGAGCCTGTGTTATTGACACGGATGTCCTATATCTCAGATGCATTAAGATACAAAAATGGCAAAGATCATCTGTTTAAAAAGCTCCTCCACAAATGATCCTCCATTCTCTCCCTAAACACTTCCAAAGATGGAAATTTACTACCTCCTAAGGCAGCCTGCTTCACTTAGGCAGTTCTAATTTAATCTATCTCCTTAAATGTTCATTCATCCAGCAAAATATTTACTGAGCACCTATTATGTGCTAGCATCATCCTAGGTGCTGGGAACATGGCACAGAACAAGAGAAGAGTCTGACTCCCAAGAAACTTACACTCCAATAGAGAGAAATACGTAAGTAAACAAGGAAATACCAGGTAGTAATATGTGCTATGAAGAAAATAAAGCAAGGTAATAAGAGAGTGACTGGGGAGCTATTTTTATTTGGTAGTCCCAGAATATCTTTCTAAAAAGGTGCTGCTTAAGACCAAAATTTGAAAAATAGGAGCCAACCATGCAAAGATCTGGGAGCTGAGCATTCCAGGTAGTAAGAACAATCTTGACATGTCTTAGATGTAATAGGTCGGACTGACCAGAACATAGTGATCAAGGCTAAGAGGGAGTCAAGGGCCCAATCCTGTGGAGTTTTGTACGCTTTAGGAAATGGAACATTTCAGAGTTTTAGCAGATGAGTAAAATAATCTGATTTATCATTGTTAAGGTTGCCAGAACCACAGCAGAGAATGGTTTACAGACTTAAAGGAGCAGAGGAACTACACAGGCTGAAGAGTCAGCCAATGGCAGTAAAAATGAACATAAGTGAAGAGATACAGGCTATATTTCGGAGAAGACAGGGCTTGCTAATGAAATAGAAGTGGGAAATAATAGAAATAAGGGATCAAGAAAACCTCCTAAAGTTTTGGCTTCAACCAACGTACTGACTGGTGAAGAGGCAGATGGCTGGGTGGAAAGGTTCAGTTTGTAGTTTCATACCAGACATCAAATAAAGATGCCAAGTGGGCAACTGGATTTACTAATCTGGAATGCAGAGAATGGGTCAGAACTAAAAACATAAATGTGGCAAATTGTATTTACAGAAAGATTATTTAAATCCATCTATGGAAAGAAATTAGAAAACAGAAGGGGTCTATCACCATGTCCTCAGAGAAGCCTCTAGCACAAAGAGTAGGAAGGTAAAACCAATGACTTGAGAAGGAACAACCAGGAGAGTGTAGTGCTACAGAAGCTTCAAGAAGAAGAAAGTCCTTTACACAGAAGGCAGCAGCCAACAATTTTAAATGCTAAATGCTGCTGTGCATTCAGACAAGGTAAAGTAGATGGCCACTAGGTTTGGCAAGATGGCAAGAGTAGTTTCATCAGAGTGGCGGGGCTAGAGTGGGGTAAGGAATGAATGGAAACTGAGAAAGCAGAAACAGCAACTAGACTATTCTTTTATGGCGTTCTCTGATGATGGGGAATAAAGAAATAGAATGGCAGCTGGAGGGGCATCTGGGGCCAAACATTTTTTATTTGGACAATATTAGAGCATACTGTATAACAGGAATGACCCAACGGAGAAATATTAATAATGTAGAATGGAAAGATAATTGCAGAAGTTGAGTCCCTGAGGGAGCAAGAGAACACTGGATCTTCTGCCCAAGTAAAGGAGTTGACAAGAAAAGGACACATAAACCATCATCACGGGAAGTAAAAGAGTGGGGGTATAGATGCAGATGGGCTGCTATGATTCCTTGCTGGGAAGATACAAGGATTCCTATCTACTTTTTAGCAAAAAAAATAAAATAAAACAAGATCTCAACTGAGAACAAAGGAAAAGAGGAAATATGGAAGAGTTAAGAGAGAAGTAGAGATGGAGAGGAGCTAGTAACAGGTATGAAGGATTTAGAAACAGGACTCTCAAGCACAAGGTTAGCAAACTTCCAATCCCTTGGATAATGGTTATGGTAGATAATATTAGGGCCCAAAAATCTAATAGATAATGCCCAAAGAAATGCTAGATCCCAGTCCACGTGGCCCAATAGTTCCCATGAGACAGAAAATACTCTGGATTAGGGGTCCTTGCCTTTCAAATTCAAACTGCTTTTGGATTTGTAAACTGGAAGAAACAACAAAACTATTTTTGTTAAATCCAAAAAGCCTGGGTGGCTCAGTCAGATAAGCATCCAAATCTTGATTTCAGCTCAGGTCATGGTATCAAGTGGTAAGATCCAGCCCCACATCAGGCTCACTGCTCCATAGGAAGTCTGCTCAAGATTCTCTCTCTCCCCTCTGCCCCTCCCCTCCTCTAACGTGTACATGCTCTCTCTCTGAAATAAATCTTTTTTAAAAATCCAAAATTGTTTCATACAGATTAGAAAATAAAATAGATCAAAGTTGTAAAAATGACTAAACTGGTTTCAAGATCAAAGACATTTTAAAAAGTCTTCATGTTTTCCACTTATCTCTTAAATAGCACTCTGAATGAGCAGAAAGAGGGATTTCACTTAGGTAAAAAAAGGAAACTAGAAGGGCTGCCAACCCGGGATGTTACTTTAACAAAGGGACAGATGTCCCCAGCTAGAGATATCTAACTATAAAATAAATAGTCAGCTGCTAAGGAAATTTGAAATTTGTCTTTTAAAGTTTACTATCTTTTACACTTTTGATTCAAAAAAAAAAAAAAAAGATTTCTCAACAGCAATTTTCTATCTCTGGCTCCTTAAAACCATGGTTAAGTCTTCCAGCCATCAGGTAATAGAAGAAAACAGATCATTTTCAGTAAGACCAAATAACACCAGGCTTTTTAAAAGTGTATAGCATTCTATATTGGTTAAAAATATACTGATCCATTTTTAAAGAGCATATGCTTAACTAATACATGCAGGAGGAATGGAAGAAAATAGCCTGCCAAAAAGAAATTAGGAAACTAAACTAAGTAACATTTCCCTCCAACTCATCTAGTGTAGGCTAACCCCAATTCTAAGTCTCTCCCTTACTTGGATTTTTTTTTTTTTTTTTTTTTTTGATCTGTCTCTCCCAATGGACACAGGACACCTGGCTGGCTCAGTCAGAAAAGCATGCAACTCTTGGGTCTCAGGGTTGTGAGTTCAAGCCACATGTTGGGTATAGAGATTGCTTAACTAAACTTTTAAAAATAAATTTGGGGCACCTGCCTCAGCCAGTTAGGTGTCTGCCTTCAGCTCAGGGGACCTGGGCCCTGCATAAGGCTCCCTGCTGAGCAGGGAGCCTTGCTTCTCCCTCTCCTCTCTGCTCGTGCTCTCTCTCACTATCTCTGTGTCTCTCTCGCTCAGATAAATAAAATCTTCTTTAAAAATTAATTAATTTAATTTAAAAATCTTTAAAAATCCTTAGCTTTTCTATTACCTACAGAATAAAATCCTTGGCCTGACCCTGTCAAAGCTCTAGCATCCAGCACTATGTAAACATTGAACATAATCTCCTACAATTCCCATTCTCCAACTAAACGGGGCTCTTCCAACAGGGAAAAAACCACCAGAAAATGAGAAACCCAGCACCATAAATAGATAAAAGGCTTCCCTTCCCAACAATCACAATGAAGGATAAACCCCAAATTTCAAATTTCCTGTTTAAACAACTCCTTTGAAGATCTGGGTAACAAACGGCAGAAGAGTTAGGATCTAGTAAGGGCAATGTTGTCAAAAGAAATGAACCTTTGATGGTGACTATGAATTCTCATGAATCCTTTCTTATCCTGAAGCAACTTCCATTTCTCTGGCCCAATTACCTGTTATCTAAGAGCTTTGGAAATCCTAATCCCCCATATTGACTCCACTATCACTGTGCCTTTGCACTAGACATTCTCTTCAAAAGCAAGGTAGGACTTTTCACTGGGGAGGAGGGAAGGGAATCTGCCAACTCAATTTTAGCTACAACAGCCCAAAAATAGGACTTGGCATAAGAAAAAAAATTATCTGTTCAAAAAAAAATCTTCTGCTTTTATCACACTAATCTACAACTGTAGTCCATACCCACTCTTCAGTAAATCAGTCTTCCATGTAAGCCCTGAGGAGGCATTCTTAACCTTGGGCTTATGAAGCTGGGGTGACTTCAGCAAGAAACTTTCTTTTCAATCAACTTAGGCCCCACCCCACTCCTACTCTTGCAGACCTGGAAGACAAAAATCATCAAATGGAAGTCACTAGAGGTTCTCAAAATTCCTTCTCCAGTCTGGATAATACAATTTTTAGTTACAAGCACCCTGGATTGGGGGAGGGGGGAGAGGCAGAGGGGGGATGCAGGGCAACGGGGTAGAAGGTCTGATATTCAGAGCAAACAGGGTAGGCTATCTGGTGTATATGACGGTGGTAACATCGGAACTCCTGATAGCCCGGATGCTGCCACAAAGAACCAAGTCTTGGTCATCTAGGACAAAACCCAAAGATCATAATGAAACATCCAATTCACAGGCTATTAACTCTGCAACTCCAGACCAGGCTAGTACACAAGTCAGTAAGTCCTTAGGCTTATTTTAAGTTCTGAGAAAGAAGGTGGAGTATCTCTGGTATGAGTCTGAGCTAGCATTTGTGTAAAAAGCATTCTACAGCTCTATAAGCTGAGAACTACTATAAATGACCAATTCTAATGCTGTATTTTGTCTTTGCCCCAAACAGACTGTAAATTCACTGAGGACAAGAAACAGAAACCTGATGCACCTCCAAAGCTAGTACCCTCTGTTAGATTCGAAACACAATTGATGGTCTGATAATAATCACACTGGGGGAAAAAAAACTGATTCTAACATGTTCTCAAAATCAGACAGAAGACGATACCAGTGACTGGAAGGGCCCACCTGGTGGCAGGCGAACTCATGGGCCAAGGCTGTACTTAGCATTCACTAGAGTTCCTACTGGGCAAGAAAGGTCAGCTTTTGTTCTATACGGCAGTCTACAACGTATCGAATGCTGGGAATCAGAATAATACTGCTAAAATAGAGCTCTGTGAATTAAAACGGAGCTCAGGATACCGAAATAACAGCTTCATCCACAAGAAAGAAGTAGGAGCAGCTAAAAGCCAGTCAAGTAAAGGCTGATTCAACAAGCGAACCACCTGTGTTTATATTTCTTACACTGTTTCACTAGCGGTTAGCAGTGATTAGGTCGAGGTGAGAGAGATACTCCAGAGTCTGCTTTTCCATTTTAAAGCTCTACCCATTTTAAAGGTATGTTAAAGCTGAAGTGAACGCTGAAATGGGAGTTTTCCTGGAGGGAAGCGGATCATCAGGCTGAGCAGCGCCGTGAAGGGGGTTTCTCCAGAATTCCCGAATCAGGCTTGTGGCAACCTTTCTGAGCCTCAATTTCCCCATTCGCCAAAGAGGGCAACGCAGGCTCCTCTCGGGACCGCACGGGGCGGTGATGTGATATAAGAGAGAGTGACGGGGGAAGAAAAGCAGCGCACCAAAGTAAACACATTATTACTGCGATTACGTAGAGAATCATTACCCGCTAGGATGAAGCTCCCCACACAAGAGATGAAGCCCGAGAGAAAAGAGTTGAAGGGGAAGGTCCCCACGAGGAGACAATAACCGAACTGCAGCGCCCCGGTCAGCAGTATGTACAGGAGGTACGCGTCAAGCAGCTTCAGGCGCTGAGGAGTGGAGCTCAGGTACTCCTCTAGGAACCGCGAGATAACCGACACTACCGACGCCGACATGACCACACACTCGCTCCTCCGGCCTGTGCTCCCCAAACTCCCGGCGAAAGCGACGGCCACCCCGGACGCAGCCCGTAGCCTTGACGCCTGCGCACCTCTGCAGCCCCGCCCCGCCCGCCCCGCCCCGCCCTCTCCGAGTCGCCTCTTTGCGCAGGCGTATACTCAGGCCCGGGCGCGAAACAACTACCGCGCAGACGCAGAGCACATCTACGGACGTGGGCCACGGCCTGCTAAAGCTAAAGCGCCTGCGCAGTGGATCTGTCCCTGGGCTGGAGACGTGTACTCTTTCCGTCCTACTTCCGTGGTCAGGTTGGTGACGCCCACAGTTGCTCTAGCAACAAGATACTGTGGGAGGAAGAGGGGGACGGGTTTTACAAAGGACAGCAGCGTAGCCGCCCGATGGTTCCGGCTTTCTTTGGCCCACCCGCGCCTTCAAAGATTAAACTGCTTGGGTCTACTGTGAGGCAACGCCCGGCGTCCTCGGGGTTCAGTCGCGACGCAGCCCCAGCTCTGTTAAGGGCAAATGCCTGCCCCAGATGATTAGAGCAAGTTACGTTCGCCCGCAGAAAGAACCACCGCTGCTAATCACTGCGCAGGCACTAGCTTAGGCTGGGTTATGGGGGGAGGCAGCTTGACCTCTACCTGGCCCTGAGCTGGACTTGGGATTTGTCCCTGGGAGCGCTAACGAATAAGCGCGGTACACATAGAACCCTAAGTCCACAGGCATCCATTATTAGTTCAGCGAACATTTATTGGGCGCCTCGTGGCGCTGTGCTAAACTGTAGGTGCCGTCGGGGGGGGGTCTTGCTGGGGGCGGGGACTGAGTGAAAAGAGTCGATTAACATGCATGCAGTGGGTGAGCGAGTTAAGCAACCTGCTGCTCACAAGCTGGCATCTTGAACCCGGTGTAGTGCCCCAGGATGCTACGCTGGAAGGCACACAGGAGCATTGCCTGGTTCAAACCCTACCTCCTCCAGCTCATTTTGCAGAGGAGGCTGAAGGTTTATGGTTTTGCGTTTTAACAAATGGAATTACCTATTTATATTTAGCGTTTTAACTTTTTTAAAAATCAGATCCACTTTAATTTCTGGCTTTCGCTGCCCTTTTTTTTTTTTTTTAAGATTGATTTATTTATTCATGAGAGACACAGGCAGAGGGGGAAGCAGGCTCCCTGCAGGGAGCCCAATGTGGGACTCCAAGCGAGCGGAAGTAGACACTCAACCGCTGAGCCACCCAGGCGTCCCTCTCTCTGCCCTTTTAATTTCACATTAATCTAACCTTCCAGCCCTGCTTCTCCTTCTCTCATCTTTCAGTTGCAGGTCGCACGTAACCAGGTGCCTTTTTTTTTTTTTTTAGGATTTTATTTATTCATTCATTCATTCATTCATTCATTCATTCATTTATTTGAAAGAGAGAGAGGGGCAGAGACATAGGAAGAGGGAGAAGCAGGCTCCATGCCGGGAGGCTGATGTGAGACTCGATCCAGGGTCTCCAGGATCTGGCCCTGAGCTAAGGCGGCGCTAAACCGCTGTGCCACCTGGGCTGCCCACCAGCTGCTTTTTAACCTTGTTAACAACTTTGAGTTATCCTAGGTACTCTATCGAAATCCTAAAGCAAAATTCCTTGTCTTCAAGGGTCCTTCATTTTCACTTTTTATTTGTTAACGTGGAAACTATGTCAGCGTCAACAAATATAGTGATTAGCATTGATGAGCAAAACCTTGCTTAGGTTCTAGAAAGAAGAGAAATAATCCATGTCCTCAGAAAGCTTTACAATCTATTTGAAAAAGATTCATATTCACACTCACAGAGATTTGCACTGCTAACTTAAGTTCAGCCTAAACTCTCTTATGTTGCTGAGAAAAAAAGGAGGGGGGCAGTGAATAACCAGGGTAGGTCCTATTTCAATATAATAAGGCAAGAAGCTTCAGTTTCTCTGACAAGTTGAACCTTCCTCCCTGCTTCATCAGCAAGTAGGAGAGTAGCTTCCTCACCAAGTATTCAACTTCAGACTTTAAAGGCTACGCTGGTGCTTTTTAATCATTCAGGAGTGGATTCCTCAGGGGGTTTCTATTCCATCAGCCAGGCTCCTTCCAGCAGTTTCTCCCTTATGCTGTATCTGCCTTTGATCCGTGTCAACTATCATCATTAGCATCTCCACAGGAACTCCCAAAGAGGGAAAGCAAAAGAGATGAAAAATAACTAATTCACTTACTGAGTGCATCCTTTTCTGAGACCTGCAAAGTCAAACATCAATATAATAAACTAAAGTTTTTCTGGACTACTTAAAACAGCAAGAAAAGGTCTTGTTCTGTGTTCAGTTTATGATTCTATAATCACTGAAAGATTTTTAACTGATCTGTCAACAGGAAATTGCTAATACTAGTATTGATTTCAACAGTTTAAATCAGAATATATGTAAGAATTCACATCCAGGATAATGGATAAGAGTGCTGGTTCTAGGGTCAGAGTCCTGGGTTTGAACCTTGGTTCTGCTGTTGCCTGATCCATAACAAGTTAGTCACGCAGCCTCATTTTCCTTTCCTATGATTTGGAAATAACAATACCAGGATGGCTGGAATGTTGTGTTAAAAAGAAAAGCACAGGCCCAAAATGGACCCTTAGACTGAGTCCCCAAACCACATAATCTAATTGCAGTTTCAACCTCTCCCAGCAATGTAGTCTTAACCAGTTAGGAATATGTCACCAGTGAGTTTGCCACAGGGTCCCTCTCCATACACCTGAGGAAAATGAGACCCTTTGCCTTCCTCACTATGGAAAAATGGTCTGAATAATCCTTTCCTTTAGCTGATAACTTTATTACCCTACCCTCATTTCTATAAAAATCTTCCATTTTGCAAAATTCCTCAGAGTTCTTTATTTGCTAGATGAAACACTGCCCAATTCATGAATCTTTTTTTTTATTTTATTTTTATTTATTCATGAGAGATAGAGAGAGAGGCAGAGACACAAACAGAGGGAGAAGCAGGCTACCTGCTGAGCAGGGAGCCCAATTCAGGACTTGATCCCAGGTCCCCAGGATCATGACCTGAGCCAAAGGCAGACACCCCACCACTAAGCCACCCAGGTACCCCATGAATCTTTTTTTTTTTTTAAATGCCAATTAGGTCTTCAAAATTTACTTGGTTGAATTTTTTAAACAGTGGTGTGGATTAAATGAGATGTTAACATTAAGCACTTAACATAGTATTTGACACACAGTAAATGTTCAGTAAACATTTACTCTTAACAATTAATACTGGTAATTAACTATGCTTCCTCTATTTCTCTGACTAAAAGTTGGGCAAACCACAGAGCTCCAAATATTTTGGGATGTAAGAGATGGCACTGAAAGACCAACTCAGATGGCTCTCAGGGGGCAAAACAAATTTATAAATTGAAGCTGAAGTCAGAAGAGACTTCAGGAGTTTTATTACAAAAACACTGTTGGAGAGGAAAAATTTCCCTCTAACCATCTTAGTTTTATTGGCCCTGTAAATTAGACTGAAAAAGACAGATTAGCAAGTGAAAACAAACAAGTTTATTAACATATGCATCACATAGACACATGGGTGTACTCAATTATTAATAACTCAAAGGAGTGGTTAGAACTTGGGCTTATATCACATTAAGAAACAAAATTCAACTGAGTACATTTTATTCTATTTTTTATTTGCCGGAAAGAGAGAGAGCAGAGACAGAGGGAGAAGCAGGCTCCCTGCTGAGCAAGAAGCCTGATGCAGGGTTCAATGCTAGGACCTTGGAACCATGACCCAAGCCGAAGGCAGATGCTTAACCAACTGGGCCAAGCAGGTGCCCCTCAACTGAGTACATTTTAAAGACATTACTGGCTTTATTTAATGATTCATGAATCAGGCATAGTCAGTCTAAAAGAAAGGAGCTCCAAGAAGCTACACAAAATGAAAGACTTTTATAGGCAGATGGGAGCAGGAACTAGGAAAACACTGAACAAAAAGCAGACTGGTGATATTAAGGTCATTTTCCTTTAGACAATTCCTGATTGATTCCATTTATGGGAAAGCCAAAACTGTAAGGTTTGATGATGTGGGGCCTAACATAAGTGACTCCATTTAGGGCCTGTCGTCTTGTTTGTGTAACAATGGCTCTTTACCAAAAAAGGAATACCCTTTGGAGAAGTGACAAGACAAGGAAAAAGGACTTTTGAGTTTCTAGGGCAGCAAGTTGTGGGAAGGTAAAAATGTATAAGAGGATTAATAAAAACAAGGTGTAGTTAGTAAAGTTTGTTTTGTAGATTCCTCTGGTCCCCTCTCTGGGTTGTTAAGGATCTAGAGTTCTTCTGTTCGTCCCTTGTAAGGGGGAGCGGGGACACATATACAAAGTAATGTCCTGCTTTTAGGTAAATAGGGGGAGGGTAGAGAGCTTTTCCTGCTGCTTTTATCTGCTGCTTCTCAATTACCTTCAGCTCAAAATAATCCTTATGCTACAGTGGCATATTTTGGGGTGGCATGTTCTGCCATTCAACACTCTACATCGGACACGTGGGTGGCTCAGTGGTTGAACGTCTGCCTTTGGCTCAGGTCCTAGGATCAGGTCCGAGTCCCACATCAGGCTCCCTGCATGGAGCCTGGTTCTCCCTCTGCATTTGTCTTTTCCTCTCTCTGTGTGTCTCATGAATAAATAAATAAAATATTTAAATCTAAAGTTTTTTATGGGCTTATTGGTGGGCTGTTTTGTTGTTGTTGTTGTTTTTAAAGATTTTACTTATTTATTCTTGAGCAAGAGAGAGGCAAAGATGCAGGACGAGGGAGAAGCAGGCTCCATGCAGGGAGCCTGACATGGGACTCGATCCCAGGTCTCCAGGATCAGGCCCTGGGCTGAAGGCAGCACTAAACCTCTGAGCTACCTGGGCTGCCCTGGTGGGCTGTTTTAATCTGAGTAACCGCCCTGTGCCTGTCATCCAGTCAGGCTTTTGTCATCTACCTATCACATGGGGAAAGGGTGGAAGGCTCATTCCAGGGTAAGGTAAAATCCTTTTAAGGGTGGTTTCCTCTTGGGTGGTGGTGGTGGGGGTATTGCTCCTGCCTTTCTTCCAACTATCCTTCATTACAAGGAGTA